CAATATTTCTGTACAGTAAAGGAGGTATATAAATTGAAGAATCAGAGCCAAAGTTTTAGTTTGGCAGTGGAACACTTTAGGGGAAAAATATATGCACAGTACACAACTTCACATTTCTAGCAATGGTTCTCTCTCTGAATCTGACGTTTCACATTAGGAGTATCGCCTTATATTGTGTTGAGTATTAAGCTGGAGTGAGATAATAGCACTGCTATTAGCAAAGTAGCAATCGGGAGTCCCTTGTGAAATGATATTCAGATAAAGAAGTCAACATAGCCCAGTTGGAGTGCTCCTGCTTCCAAATGCAGATGAAACTCCTTGGGAGGAGCTCGGTGATTCTGTCTCAGTACCACTTGTATCTCTCCTTAGGAAGCGGGTAAATGGACAGACAAGAACATTTCCCTAATTCTTGGCACTTACACTGAAGAACTGGGACAGGCTCCTTCACAGTAGGACAGTTCTACAAGATCAGAAGATATGCACTCATTTTGATGGATAAAAGTGTGATTCTTTCGAACCTGGCAATTTTCTGCTAAAAAATGAAAGGAGAAATAAATTGATACCACATCTTATCGTCATATTCACTGCAGTGGAGATAGTAACAGGTGAGCTCCAGGTTAAAAAAAGCTATAGACATTGCTTTCATTTCTCACCCTTAGAGGTTTCTAGTAATAGTATTCCAACTAAGAGTGAATTAAGCAGAAGCTTCTTGGAGCCATGATGATGATGATGATGATGATGATTAGCAACAACATTCTACTGCCCAGCATAGAAAGAGTCAATTATGCAGCATGAAGAAATTAAGTAACAAGAACAAGAAGAGCTGAGGATTGCAGAAGGCACTCTTTCCATCTCAAACAGTAATCCAGGGATAGTTCTCAGCCTCAGTGGATGAAGTGGGGCTTGGCCTGAAGCAGAGCATTACGCAGCCCTTCCTTGTATTAAGTCCTAATGTGCATCACTCTTTTTTGTCGATGTGAAAAAAGTGCACTTACGCGGTTTGCATACTGTACAGCAGCCATCAGGAGTTTTTTCAACCGCGTCCTTTGGAACAGAAACAAAATTAGTCACTATGACACTATGACTAGGATGCAAATGTGAGAATGTTATTGTACTAGGTTTGTGATACTCAGCCTAAAAACTGCTCCAGAGTTGGGCATGTAATGAATGCCAAAAGGAGCCTTCTGCAGTCAGCCATGGACTTTGAGGACTGTTTCCTGCCTAAGCATGTACAGGGTTGCAGCTTAAAGCTATCATATTTAAAAATGACCATTCAGAGCTGGCAAGTTATGACTCTTCTGACTCACTCTGTTTCTCTGTTTTCTATGTTTCTTCCCTAAGTAATAAGAAATGCACTAAAAATAATTGCCGTGCTGTGAACTTGCAGGTAAGCACGGCACTTAAAAGAATGCAAGTGGAGCTAATGTTCTTCTAGAGAGGATGACTGTTCTTTCTGGTAGTATCACAAGAGAGATGAGGACTGAAAGGAGCTCATGCCACACTCGATCACTGCACACAGTAAAGCTACAGCTTTGCACCTTTCTGTGACACACCACTTGGAATCCCAGGGATGCGGTTTCTCATTGAAAGTAGCAAGCAGCAACCCTGCCCTACTTCTGGGATCATTCTTTCACACATTCTTTACTATAAATCGGATCCAAAGAGAGCCTTCCTGAAACAGAGGGGCTCTCCTGTCCAAGGAGGGCTTCTGATCCAGCGGTTGAATCCTGCTGATGGGTAAGGAAGGAGGCCATTGTGATTGCTTCCCCTTCTCCCTGCAGCCCCTCATGGCCCCTGAAACCGTGGTCTGCAAAGCCCGCTGGCTTGCAGGGAGAAGTGGAAAATAATCAAATGGCATCTCTCCCCTTGCACTGTTAGGAGGGTACTGAGCAGTACTGTACCGAGGATGGTACTGCTAAACTCTGTGTGACCCCATCCCTGCAAAATCCGCAAGGGGGGGTGGCTGGGTTGCTCTCTGGAACAGTGAGATCAAACGCTCTGTCTCCACGCTGGTGACAAGGACATGACCAACATAGCTTGCTGCTCATTTTAAATTGTCTGGAGCTCAGCAGAATGAGATCAATGCTTGCTTCATTTAATTACATTTTCTGTGATCCAATGACCAAAGCTCTCTGGGTGTTTCACAAAAATGAAACCATAGATTACAACATAAGTAAGAAATAAAGCATAAAATAGTTCTTACAGGCTTGCACTCCTCTGGGTCGAAAATGGGGCATTTTCTCACGACTTTAACTGGAAGGAATGTATTAGTTGTTTGTTCACATATGTAGTGGCTGCAGTTATCAGCTCCTGGATACCGAATATCACCAGGCTGTTATTATTTAAAAAAAATGGCACGATTATTCTTTGCAAGCTTCAAAACTCTCTGAACAGTTTAATTAGCTAGATTTCCCACCCCCACATCTCATTGACATAGGACATGTCTGCATTAATCCTATCCACCAATTTCTTAGCAATTTGGTAGCTACAGTTCCAGACACTGGGACTCTATTCTGTTGACGTACATATAAGAAAGCAGGCTTAGGATCTGAGATATATTGGGCTGAGAGATGGCAGCCAGCCCCACTGTGAGTTTTATTACCAAAACAGTATACTATATTTCACAAGAAAGCTAAGAGAGCTTAGAAAGCTTCTGAGAGATTAGAGTGTTTATGGGCCAAGGCTCTTATCTGCACTCTCAGATCAGTTCAGTTTTTTGCATGGGTGTCCCTATATGGTACCACGCTGCATGATCCGTCAAATTTGCCACAACCGCCTATACTGTTTAGCTCTGATTCCCAACCTGGCACTCTCCAGATGTGTTGAACTACAACTCCCACCAGCCCAGCCATTGGCTACAAGAATGGAGATGATGGGAACTATAATCCAATATATCTGGAAACTGCTGGGTTGGAAAAGCTGGCAAAAAGAAAAGAAAAGAAAAAAGAATGAGAACAAGAAGACTTTATTACCTTGAACACTTCGGTGGTGCCATTGAGTTGAATTATGCAAGCCACCTGGACACAGGTTCCACAACACTCTCCAGCCTTTACCTGGTACTGGTAACCCTGTTTGGTAGAGAAAATGTTTGGTAGAGAAGAGTCTGTTAACCAGAAACTGGATTCGTGGAGAGACAGCCATCATTCAGTTGAAGCAGCAGCAATAGAGAAATTAAGCATTGTTTGTACCTCTGGACAGGTTTCATTGCATGCAATTGGTTTGCATTCCACAAACCAAATTTTCTTTGATGCTGCATCTAATTTTGAGCTGCAGGTGCACGTTTCACAAGAATTGCTAGGAATGGTCATTCCAGACTGGGAAAAGTAAAAGAACAGCAGTCAGTATAAGCAGAACCATGCCCACAAAACACTTTCATCATCAAAGAGCTGACAGTATTTTTACTTCTTAGCTTAGTTTTAACTTTACAACAACCTCCTCAGCGGTATTTCTCATGGAGAATGGTAACAGACTTATCTAAGGCCCTAAGGTGAGTTGAGGATCTCATCTCCCTTTTCAAAGGATCCAAGACACCGTCACTGGGGCCACATTTGGTCCTCACCAGGAGGCTTAATTCACATTTTATGTTGCAATCATATTTGCCATGGCTATGCCAATATTACACCTCCATTTCCTTCAGAAAACACATGCAGTATTGAGGGCAATGTACATGAATAAGCTTTTAACCAGCCCCAGTTATATCTTCAAGAGCAAAGTGATCTGGGGAGATGAGCAGGCTGATCCACAGCATGAAAAATTTCACCTGCTGATTTCTCTAACTCAAGAACCTGCTAAAGGCAAAAGAACAGGGTAGCTTTTTCTAGGCAGCTGGCAACTTGCAGTGGACACTCTCTGGTATGTGGCCTTCCATATTTTGGAATGTGCATCCACCTTTCACACATGCAATGATCACTGGGGAAAAGCTGATGCGGCACCCATGTAGCCAAAACAATTATAACCATTGCACAAAGCACCACACTCAATTCTTCTTCCTCTTCCCTGAGTGGGAGGCAAGTGCGATTTTTAAAAGGGCTCCAGGCATGCAGCCCCTGAATTCAGCAGGCTTACTTCTATGTAGGCATGTGGAGGATCCAGCAGTGAGATACTATACGGGCTTCTCTACTTGAGGCTTTTAACCCACCACTTTACCCAGATCTCTGCTCCTTGATTCTTTGTGAGCTTAAGATCAGCTCCTTTACAGGTCTCCCCCAATCCCTGCCAGGGATGTGTGTTTTTGCCTTTTCACATGTTCCTTTACACAACTACAAGATGGTACTGTGGTATAAAAGAACTATGGAAATGACCATTTCATTCTGGTTTATTCTGCTGTTCCTAGAAAACTGCCACACTTTTCTCACGCTAGAAAAATGCGGTGCAAGTGCTTGGGAAGCACAGGAGAGGCCCTGGGAGAAGAAGACATCGCAAAAAGCACCTGCACACTAATGTGAGTGTGAAATCACAAGAGCAGCATCGGTGCCTCCTGCAGAGAAGCCTTAGGAATCGTTAGAAAAATCCAGATGAGCTGTATTTGGGACAAGGTTCCCAAATGCTAGCCTTAGCAAAAGACAGGTGATCATTATGGAAATGCTGCAAGGAAAACTGACTGCACAGGACCTATTTTGGGGGAAGCAGAAACAAGTCATGAAAGAAGCACAGAATTTAGATTTCTACTTGATGGTATTTGCTTGGAAAGTGGCTTCCCCCCACTGTATTGTTTGACTATGACCCCCTCAAGCTGAACTTGGAAGCTGATTTCAACATTAATGTGCTATCTGCATGAGCACCAAACACTCTCCGAATTGAATGAGGCACTTTTACAACAGTTCTGTAACACAATGGGAACCTTCCCCTTAAAACACGCTTCGAGATAAATCACATGCATCACATATCCTCCTTTCCCAAAGAAGGCACTCAGAGCAGCTCACACCAAGCAATATGACCAACATCGCTCCCTGACCCCCATCACTCCCACATGTAGAACTCCATTCAAGGGGCAGCTGGGCATGTTCACATGCTGGATTTCTGTGATGTTAGCGTTCACCATTGTTTGGGTGCTGTGCTGTATGTAAAGTCTCACTGCTTGTTTTATCTGGATGCTCTTAACTATAGTTACCCATTCCTGAAGTATGTTATAGTCTATGACTGTGACACGCATGTACGCGAGTAAGTAAATAAGTAGATGTGTGGATACTCGGTTTTCATTTGTCAGCTAGCTAAAAGGGCTCCAGAAAGTAACCAACAAGATTTTCCCAGGCGATTAGTTCCATAGCATAAGTGCTGCTATTAAAAATCTCTGTCCATGATATGAAAAATGAATGTAGAAAGGAAGATACAGGTAATTCCAATATTCTTACTGTGTAAAGTGTTCCATTGACCACACAGATGTCTGGGATTTGTTCTGAAAACAGAAATACCCAATTACTTTGAAAATATGATGAGAGAAAGATTGCTACAGTAATAATAAAGAGACTATACTCTCTACATAACCTGTCAATACCTAGTTGCAATGAGATACTTAATGCTTTACTTGTGTCTTACTTTACTGTTAAATACAGGCTTCTCCAAGGATCTCAAGGTAATGCGTGTGGTTCTCCTCTCTCCCTCTCCCTCTCCCCCACACCCACACACACACACACACACACATTTTATTTTTTTGATGGTAGGCTAACCGAACAGAATAATGACCAACCTAAAGTCACACTCAGTAGAATCCTGTGAACATTTACTTGGTTCTAAGCCCTACTGAGGTCAATGGGGATTTGCTCCCAGGTCAGATTTCCCCCCATGTCTCCCTGGTCCTAATTCTAGAGGCTAATTATTGGACTGATGTAACATGTGAAGTGTGATGGATGCTGTTTGAACACACGCTCCTGGATGTGTGTTTATTTTCCAGAATATGTTTTGATGGCAGCAAACGTGTACGGGGAAAACTTTAATTAGACTTACATTGCTACATCTCTGCTCATGCTAGGTCATGTTTTTACACTTCCCTTCTAATTTTCCTCTCCTTGACTCTGTGTCCCCTTTGGAATGTCCACTCAGAAAATCCTGGAATGTGTATCAGAAGACTAATACTTACCACAAAAGAAAGTGACACAGCAGTCTCCTTCAAACAGGACAGCGGCTAACCTGTACCCAGGTTCACATGATTTCTTCTCATTGGAGCAGGCACTAGTATTGCATACTGTGGAATAATGAGAAAACAGTGAGGGCTGAATAAGCAGGCCAGCACCCCAATCCTGAAAAATTTAGGCTAGCATATCTTCCTGTCATGCCAAGACAACCCCAAGGGAATGCCACCGTAGCATTTCTCTGTGGGTGCTACTGTACGAGGCAAGGGTATCAGGACACCTTCTGCTCTCTTCTTTCTCACCGGTAACTCCAAGGCTAAGCATATTTAGGTAAACGTAAGTCCACAGAACTCAAAGGGTTTACTTTCAAGAATATGCACCTAAGATGGTAGTTTTGAGCACGTGATAAACACAAGTTGTATGCTTCATAGCAACGTTTGATATGAACCTGAGGCCTGGCTGTTCAAGTGCCTTTGCTAGGAGTCCTTTTCTGTCTCCTGCCAGACAGTCTCACTAATGAGAAAAATATTACATACTGTTCGCAAAAGAAAGGCTGGCCTAGTCTTCTGTGGAAACATGATATACCAAAACTGAAATAAACATCAACAGTTTCAAGTTCTGGTAGCAGGCTTTCTTTTTGATCCTGTTTTCAGTCCCCATGATGATGACAAATGGTTGGCCACATGAACAGTTGGTACTGGCTGTTCGTAAACAATACATACTGCACCGAATCTCTGGACAGCACGGATCTTCTGGTTTCGGCACAGGGAGAGCCATGAACCCTTCTTTCTCACAAACCGGTCGCTCTGGTTTCCCGCAAGTCTGTGGCTTGCACTGCACACTGAGAGACAGTGGGTCACAGAGACACTCGTTGCAGTTGCTCTTCCATTTGGTTCCAGGCTGTAAAACAGAGGTACAAATCCATTAACCCTTCTTGACAACAGTGTCACTTGCCCTCTGCTTATTTCTCAAAGAGACTTGCTCAAGCAATAGCATTTATTTGACCTTATGTCTTAGGTAACATGAGATGCACCTGCTCCACAGATGTTGGATCATGGGCATGCCCTGCAAACAAGAAGAGGACCTAGAAATTGTTGGCAAAGGTAGTTTTTTATTTTTTTAAACTGGTGGTATGGGATCTCCTTAAATGCTAAGTTATAGGATGCTTTGATGAATCAGCTTCAAGTCCCTTCTCTGCTGATTTGAGGTGTTGTGCCTGGAAAGTTTAGCATTGGATCTATAGGGACCTTGAGTTAAGAACCTCAGTGCATCTCTCACACTAGCCCTAAAACACCTTGTTGGGTTCCTCGGAGACCCAAATGTATCAGCAACAATCTAGATCTAGTGTTCTGAGTGGAATACTCACTGCTTTGGGCAATCCATCTGGTCCCACACAACCTGAAATAAAGAAGACAACATCATGTAGCTCTGTAACAGCTTATATACATATGAATTAGCTTAATCTTTAACATAAGGGACCTGGATTTAAAAAAGATAATTGTTTTCTCTCCTATGTCCAGAATAATTTGCTTTGTTATTACCAATACAAGTAGTTTCTGTACAGTCAAGGACCAAATTAGCATTTACTTTAATAAAAGGATTTGCTATCAGCAGTTGTTTGCATTCCAGTCACACTGCAACAAAATAGATTTTCAGAAATGTATGATGGTTTATATTTTTCCCCAAGGGGAGAATGAGCCATTGATAGAAGGAATGTGTTTCTGTAGGGTATTCCTAAGGGAAGTCTCTCCATATGAGAAAAACAAGGTACAAGCACAACAATGCTTTCTGTGCTATACTTCACATTCAGGTAAAACTCATTTTCTCCACATGGAAGAGGAAGTGCATTTACACACAATCCGAGCAGAAAGGCAGGCAAATGGAAGCTCAAGGTACTGCGTGCCTGTTCCACTTACGGCGTGCTCGTGGCAGGCTGGCCATCTGTCTACCGACTGCTGACAGAATGAAATTACAAAGCCACTGGCAGACTGGCACCGTGTTCCCTGGAAAGAAGCAGCACTCTGCCAGTGGAGATGGACAGGCAGGCGCTGGTGGGATGGATCTGCCTGCTGCTGGAGCTCCCCTAGTGCAGCACTGGAATGCTCCAATGGTGTCACAATGGTGTAACAGAGTCAGGGCACACTGGGACACAGGCCTGGCCCTTTCTAATTGGCAGGGTCACTGACATCATCCCCCTGCTTCAGACAGCTCTGATCCCTTGGAACGTAGCTGCAGTACATTTTTCCAGCAATAGCCTATTGTCCTCTGTTGTAATACACAGGATTTCAGGGATGGCTTGGTCTTGAACTGGCACTTTATCTTCACAGAAAATCTCCTGAAAAGGTTTCTTGGTGTCTTGCTAGGGATCAGCAAGCTGCCTGTAATGTGGGGCTCTCTTTGGGGGCCTGGCATGATGAGTGCCTGCATTACGCCATTGCCCAGCAGTGCTGTAAATGGATGCATCAGAGGCGTGGCAGGGAGGGGATGCCGATCCACAGGATCAGAGTCTCCTAAACCCCTTCACTTGCACATCCCTTATAGGCCCTGGAGCTGTGCCAGGCCTGGAATTAGATAAGAAACTCTTCCTCATTGTGGTCAGTTGTGAGTGGAAGAGGGGAGAAGAAATAAATAAGGAAAACTATCCCTTTGCCATTGGATTGCTCTGTCTAGTTGTTGAATATGAAAAATACTCTTCATACCATCCTTCATGCTGTTCCTGCCTATGGATTAATTTGTCAAAATTCCTCCACCATGAAAAGAGAAACTCACCACATTCTGGAACACACATGTCTGTGTAGGAGTTGAACAGGATCTTTTCCTTTGGGCAAAAGCATCCTTCAGCTACATGCTCACTAATATCCTTTTGTCTGCAAAGAAAAGGGGGATGGATATTAAAATTCTGATTCTGTAATCACGTGCTTTAAGAGTGCCATAACAGACACATAAAAAGAAACTTCTCTTAAATCTTCTCCAGACCTGAAGACTTGACTAGCAGTCCTGGGCTCTCTCAGCATGGATGAGAGTGCTGACTTTGCACCTTGGCAGTCCTCTCTCCCACCCAGCTTAGCTTCTCCATCAGCCCACCCTGTCATCTCCTCAGCCTTTCTCTCCTGGTGGACATTGGGGCTGGGTAGACTGAGGCACTGCTGAGAGATGCTCCAAGAGTCCCTGTCCTATGAAGAGGCCTGCCTGGCCTGAGATGCAGCAGGACTATTTCTGCCAGCCTGAAATGGGGCCCAAGGCACAAAGACAGCTTTAGTTGTCCTATGCTAGGGAAGAGATGGGCAGTGCATCTGTTGGTTCTCCTGGATCTCAGATGCTTCTGATATCGACCATGGTTTTTTTCTGGAGCGATTGTCTGAGTTGGGTATGAGAGGCACTGCATTGCAGGGGTCTGCTTCCACTTGGATTATAGGATCTGGAAGATGCTGCTTGGGGGATGTTGTTCTACCCCTTGGTGTGGGGTCAGTCCTGTCCCCAGTGTTGTTTAACATCTATACAAAACTGCTGAGTGGGGCCATCCTGAGTTTTGGAGTGTGTTGTCATCAAATTTTTGGTGACACACAGCTGCAGCTCTCCTATTCATCTTCAGCTGGTGAGGCTGTGGGTGTACTGAAGTGTCTGGCTGTGACAATGGACTGGATGAGGCCTAACAAACTGAAGATGAATTCAAACACTATTAGTGGGTGGTTCTTCTGATCGGGTGGAGGGAATTCAGCCTGTTCTAGATGGGGTCGCATGCCCCTTGAAGGAGCACGTTCGTTACGTAGGGGTGCTCCTTGAGCCATCTTTGTTACTTGAGGCCCAGGTGCCTGCAGTGGCTTGGAGTACCTTCTACAAGCTTTGGCTGGTGGCCCAGCTATGCCCTATCTGGACAGAGATAGCCTGCTATCAGTGTTCTAAGCTCTGGTAATCTCTATACTAGATTACTGCAATGCCCTCTATATGGGGCTGCCCTTGAATACTGTTTGGAAGCCTTAGCTTGTTCAAAATGTGGCAGCCTGACTAATAAATGGGATCAGATCACACCAATTCTGGCCTGCTTTCACTGGCTGCCCATATGTTTCTGAGCCCAATCCAAGGTGCTGGTTTTGACCTATAAAGTCCTACATGGCTTGGGACCACGAAACCTGATGGAACACCTCTACCTGGACACTATGGTCAAGTTCCAGGGCCCTTCTCTGATTGCCACCTTTGAGGGAGGCTCAGATGGTGGCAACAAGCAGAAGGGCATTTTCAATGGTGTTCCTTCAGTTTTAAAACGAGATCGCCACTGAAGCTCACCTGGTGGCAATTTTATTATCTTTTCAGTGCCAGGTAAGGGCTGTTCTCTAATGCAGGCATTCGAGTGATCTACTGGGGTCTACTACCTGTTAAACAGAACTTATGATTTTTCTTCAAGATATTATATCTCTGTGTTTTAAATTTTATATTGTAAACTTTTTATGTTTCAATATGATGCGTCTTTTATTGTTACTTTTAATGTGCTGTTGTGAACTGCCCAGAGAGCTCTGCCTGTTGGGTAGTATAGAAAATAATTTATCAATTTAATTAATAAAAACATATTTTTGGGAAGGGTTCTTTATAAAGGATACTTTCATAAAAAGGAGACAAATGTTAACACTTTTTTGGTTCTTCAGTGGCATCCATAAGGATGGGAAATAGCTTTCTGTCTATAGCTAGAGAGTGAGAGGCAGCAAGTTAACTGCAAAAGTGTGTGTTAGGGTAAACATTTGGGAAAAGTACTTTTATAGTGCAGTCCCATACATATCTACTCAGAGATTTACCCTAAGGAATTCAATGGGACCTACTCGGTCCCAGGTGTGTATAATATTGCAGTTCATGCATATGTATGCATGCATTATATTGTCACTCCACCCCATGATAATGTTCTCTGGAGGGATTACAAAAGTGAAAAGGAATAAAAATACCAAAGAAGAGAGAACAAAATATATAATATATAATGCAAAACAACACAGCAGAGGACCAAACTTTATATAGCCAGACATATAATCGAAAACTGAGCCTCTAAACTATCATTGCAATAGCCTTGCTAGTGCAGAAAAGAGCTTGCAGAATTTTCAAGGGTGTGGGCCCTGCAGGCATAAGTTAGAATTTGGCCATTTACCTGACATATTATATTACATTTATAGCCTGCCTCCCCCTCCCCTCTGGTGAGGAACACAAGCTGGCTCACATAGCTCCCTGTTATCCTCACAACAAAACAACCCTGTGAGGTAGGTTGGGCAAGACTGAGTGATTGGCCCCAAGTTGAGAGCTATGTAGCAATAGCAAGGGGACGGCATACAAAATCTTTAAATAAATAAATAAAATATCCAGTTACCCACTGAAGGGGACTACAACTCTGATCTCCCAGGTCCCCAGTTCGACTCTGTGAACTGCTATACCACAATGGCTCCATATAGGCTGCAATCCTATGCATGCTTACTTGTGAATAACCCTCATTGAATTCCATGGGCTTACTTCTGAGTAGACATGCACAAAATTGCCCTACTAATGATCTGAGCACCAAATGTGTATAGAAAAGCCAAAATGTGCAGTATTGTTCTTTTGTTCAAGTTTAATGTAGACACCCTCACTCCTGATACCTCACCAGAGCATAAAACCAGTTCTTCTAAGTTTAGTGATGTTGAACTGTTTTACTCTCTAGTCTAGTACAAAAGGTGGGTTCAGGTGGGTTGGAATGGGTTTTTTTCCTCCCTTCATTTTTTGGAACAGTGGATTAGGCCTAGCAGGCCTGGTGTTAACAGGATCACTATTTTGCGAATATTAAGAAATATCCTGGCCTGTCTTAACTTATGACTTGGTCATCTGAGACTACCTGTCTGTCTCCTTATGTATCTGCCTGTCTATTAAAATCTGTAGGAGAGCTGCCATCACCCACAGAAGCTCAGCATGCACAAAACAGTTTTCTCCTGTATGGCTCCCAAGCTCTGGAACACGCTCCCTTAAGAACTAGAACTCTGCTTTTAGAGTTAGTGTGAAGAGGCAGCTTTTTAGCCTAGCCTTTTAAATTATGTATCTGTTTTAAGGGTTTTTTTTAAAAAACTGTGTTAAGGCGTAATTGTTTTAAACTGAAATAGACCGCTTAGTTGATGTTTTAGTAAATAAGGTGGCACAGACATGTTAATAACAATAACAAACATGGAGTCATCCATAGTTTCCTGTGTTCTGACATGGTGGTTTCGGTGACTGAAGTTTTATCCATTTAGGATGCAGGATAATGTTTTCAGCTAAGAACTTCTTAGAATAAAAAATAACATCCTGAACTGAATAGAAATCTGAAGTTGGCAGTTATGATTACCTGAAGAATTAATGCCCAAGTGTACTTAAGGTTATTTTTCATTTGAACTAGTTTATACAGTATTTCCCTCCCGATTCACATTTCAGTTGCCTGCTGCCCCCTTCTTGCTACAAAACCCCCAAAATGAAACCATTGTCTAAGGTTAAGTGTACGCACAATATGCTAAGAAGTCAGATTTGCAGAGGCACACAGGTGCATCCATTAAAGCCCATTCATATGGAGCCAACTGTAGGTTTATTCTTACCCATTGTCACAGGTGGCAGGCTGACTAGGACCACATGCATCGTACACCTTGCCTTCGGGGCAATCATATGCTGTGAATGGAAGAATAAAATATATCACAACGAAGAAAAGACAATGATTCCAATATGAGGCTTTCTGAGGGCAGAATTATGCATTCCGTATAGTTATATTATGATTTCACAGTTGCTTGACAACCAAAACAGGTAAAGCAGCTAAAAGGGGCTTCAGATTAAAGCAGGGTGGAGGGACGGAGGGAGGGAGGGAAAAGGACTAGTTAACCCTTCCCCTTTATTCACTTATCTGCTCTATATTGCCCCTCTCCTGCAGCCTTGCTGCTTTTTTCAAGAGAAAAAAGACACAAAGATTGCTATGGGGTTTAGAAGATTGAGTCATATATTATATTCGTAGGGTTGGTTCCAAAACTGCACAGGGGGCAACTCTGCAAAATGCAGTATCCTGCAGCTGGAAATGGGAATTTCTTCAGATTCCCTTTATAATCTCTTATGTTCCCAAACACTGGTTGGAAGGTTGGAAGGCCCACAAAACCACGTGGCGCTGAGCTAGAAGAAGGAAGAACCAGCAAAAATTGCCCCCAGCCCCCTTCCTCTAGGGTGGACGCTCCCCTGTATCTCAGGACCCTCTCCCAATGGAGGAAACTATGCCAATTTTAGAGAGGTAACTCTGCAAAACATAAGTAAAACGTTACCATCCAGCTGAAATACAGAGGCAGAACACAAGGGGAAGGAAAGAACTTTCTTTTACTCGCTGCTCCTCATAACGCCACATCAGACGTTGTCCAGAGGGTCGCTTCACATCTGGGAGCAGTTTGTCCGTGGGGAAGGGGGTGCCGGGGGTGCAGGAAAGGATTGATCCTGACCTACAAGAGGCTGTATTCACAGCTGGCTATTTATTGCACCATATGAAGAGCAGAAAATGTAACCTTTCCTATCCTTTTAAAATGGGTTTCTAACTCTCAAACACATTTCTGTCAGAAGAGAAAGGCTGGTCATGGTGGAAAAAAGATTCCTAAAGAGGAGGACACTAAAGCAATGTTCCACCTATGGGCCCTCATATAGGAGACATGCACTTCTTGCTTTTGGTACCCTGTGTGTCTGCTGACATGCCTTCCACTTTCTCAGGACTTGCCGCATATGAAAAGCTTTGCAGGAAATAAGGAGTCCACATACAGCATGTAAACTGAGTTTACATGTGTGAGCCTGCTTAGTTTGCAGTGTTTCCTGCTGGCAAGGTTTTGACTGATGGGTTCACTCCGTTCTTGCACCATGATCAGTGTTTGCTCACTGTAGAAGCAACCTACATCTTTTTTCTTCTACTTACAGCATTTTCCCTGGGTTCTGTTCCTCCAGTCAATACAAACACCTTTAGCTGTGCAGAGCGAAGCATATGTCTGTATGTAGTCACAATTCAGGGTATTGCTGGAATTGTCACAAGCTTCCAGGAGGCAGTTGTCATAGAATGTTTTTGGAGGCAGAATTTTATGACATTCTTCAAAGAGACTTTAAAAACAAAAGAAGATGTGGTTAAACATAGCTCATAAACATTGTACAAATGCATTTATTTCTATATGAAAGTGAAACAGAAAGGACGATCTGCTTGGCAAAGATTTAAATACGCCATACAGCTGAATAATAATCCTGGATTGTTGCACTATTACTGCTTTCTATGGTACATGAGGAAATGGGCAATAGCCTAGGGGTCTAGGAGGTACCATCCGTAGCAGTAGACGCCTCTGTGAAATATACATGAGCAAGAATTAAAATGAGGCTACATATCAGAAGTGGGCATCTTTGCAGGGTCTGGAATCTATGTTCCCCCAGCCTTTCCTCATGAGCCACACTCTTGCCAATCAGTGCCAAAAAACAAGACAAAACAAACAAACCCTGCTATTTGATTTTATGGCAGGAAACCACTATGACAGCTCACAAGAGTCAAATTTAGTTTGTTTTCAAACTAGAGCTGCTGCTCCTATGCTTATGTCATGGTTTGCTGCCAAACAGTGGTGGCAAATCACTGCTCTTTTAGCATCCAAAAAGTACCTTGGCAATGCAGTAGGGGCTGCACCATCAGTCAGCAAAGTGGTGTGTTACCCACCCCTGCTGTGTAACTTTACAAAATAACCTATTTCTTATCTTGCAGCTGTAGTCTGTATAAGGAATTTTGGCAGTAATGACAGGGTTCTTATTTAGCATTATGCATTAGGAGTTCTTATTAAAGCTGCCAATTAATTATTTGCTGTGTAGGAGGCTATAGCTAAATGCTTGCAAATGCTGGATCGAATGTACCTGCTCAAAATCAGTTCACACAGAGGGTTGGGAGTAGGGCAGAGGGTTGGTGGGACCAGTGGGGGCTCTTCACAGGAACCATCTTTTGGATCATTAATCTTCCAGTGGGTAGCCATGTCTGCACACGAGGAGGCTTCATGACCACTAGGCAAGCGGCAATCATCCGACCGATCATTTGAACACAGCCCTGGGATGGGAAAAGATTCACATCAAAAACTGCTGAATATGGAATATGCATGACCTTGAATGGCCTTGCAATCAAGGGACTGCATTCCTGATTGAAAAACTGCATTCCTGATATTTTTCTATCATAAAATTTTCATACACGTGTTATGTACTACTTTATCATGTTATTTGTTGGCATTTTATTGTAAAGGCCACCCAGGGAGTGCAACACCAATGGGCAGCTTTCAAGCAAATCTAACAAAATAAATAAATAACTGTGGGCCATACTGAATGGTGCAGTGCCATCCCACGGGCTCCAATAGCACTAGTGGAGCTTTGCTGAATCTTTGTGTTGTACAACCTGTTGTGCATCATGCTTGCCCAACTGGTTGTACAATTGATGGTACAATGGGTCGCACAAGTGTGATATATACCTGCTGCACAACTGTTGTGCGAGCACAATGCAGAATCACTTGCATAACTATGCTCGTGCAAACCTAATTTTCCTCTTGTTCGTCGTTCTGAACCTAGTTTCCTCTAAGAAATGCCATTCTCATGAGCTGCCGTAACCAGACCCATGGTACTAATGGTAAGACATAACTAGATACTGCCCTAAATTTCATGCTCTCTGATATGGACAGATGCACACAAACATGCATGCGCACATGTGTATAGTTGTTATATAGTGTAAGCATATAAAATAAGAAGAGCTGTATTGGACGAGGGGCTATCTAGTCCAGCCCCGTGGTCGCACCATGGCCGACCAGCTGCCCAGGGGAAACCCACAAGCAGGACAGGAGTATGACGACACACTCCCAGCCAATTTCTGTAGTAACCACTACACACGGGCATCCTGCCTCTGATACTGCAGCTACTGGTCATCTGGACTAGTAGCCATTGGTAGCCTTATCCTCCAATCAGGTGGCCATCACGATATCTCATGGAGGTGAATTCCATGGTTTAACCATGTACTGTGAAGAAGTAATTCCTTTTATCTGTCCTGGATCTCTCAAAAATCAGCTCCATGGGATGAAGTCATGGGTTCTAGTATTATGAGACTATCCAGTTTTCATCATATTATGCATAGTTGCATTCACCTCTGTCGCATCAGGCCATTTTTCCATCTTGCCCAGTGCTGCTTGCTTTGACTAGCAGAAGCATCAAGAGCCTTTATCAGTAGAGAAACCAGGCATTTAACTTGAAACCCTCTACCCCAAAACAAGCATATGCCCTACTATTCAGCTATTGCTGCTCCCTCCTTGTTGTTAAAGTAGTAATACTGGTCTGTATTTGCCTACATTGATTACCTGGTTCTGAAGGAAAAGGGTTCTCCTGGAAAAAGATTTATCCCCATGATTCTGACTTACCACATTGCCCTTCTGTGTTGTATTCAAACAGCCCAAATGGGAGTTTTATGGTAAAGCCATGCCCATTGAAGAAAATGGAAGCCTGGATGGCAAGGATTTCAACAGCCATGTAACCATGTCCACTGATAACCAGAATGCCATCCTTGGTGAAACTGCCACTGACTGGTTCATTGTTGAAAAGAATCTAAAAGCAACAATGTAAAAGAGGCCAAGAACATGTTTAGATGGGTTCAAATGCAAATCTGGGCAATTTCTCATACAGCTTTTCTAAGAGGCTGAGATCAAGCAACCCTGCCAATGTTGAGCTTTGGGAGGTACTCTGCTGTCTTTTTTAAATTACTGCATCTGTCTGTCTGTCTGCCTGTCTTTTGCATATACTTATTAGCCTCTCTGATAGTTTTTAATTTTGAGCATGCTTAAAGAAAGTAAATGAATAAGGCTTTTAACAGAATGGATATGTTTGTGGTTAAGATGATTTAGGGCACAAAACTATGTTTAGAAAGAAAAGGTCCCACAATACTCAGCATTGTAAGACTTTCTTCTGTCTAAATGAGCATTAGTTTGTACCTTCAGAGGAAACGTCCCTTATTCCTCAATGCAGTCCACAGAATGGGATTAAAGCAAGGAGTGAAATACAAGCATTCCTTAAATGGACACTTTTAATATTTACATGACTGGAACCACTATTAGCTGGTTTATACCGCAATTATGACTCCCCCCATTTTTTTTCTTTGTCTATAGTACTATTGTTGTAGGAGATTACACTGTTTAAAAAACTATGACATATTACCTGGTTATCTTTCACTCCGTTCTTTATTTGACTGCTTAGCACTACTTCTACTGAGTTGTAATTTACAATGATAGATCTGGAGCAGGACTGATTATTAGCTGTATCACAGAGGTAATTATTAACCAAAACACTGAAGTTGCCATGTTTATTCACAATCTCTTTCACTAGGACATAAGTGCAATTGCCACTGAATGTGTAAGAAGTGCCATCAAAGGTCTTATAGTTAGAGTTGTCCCAACCTGTGCAAATACCTGTAACAGAGAAATCAAAAGATAAGTATATTATTGCATTTAGATTGACTTTGGATTTTGCTATTGTAAATTTTAGATCAAATTTTCTTGAAAAGAAGCAATGGCAGATTTTGCAGTAGCCTTATTTGAATTACATATTGCTAAGAATTTCAGTTGTATTTGATTACCTTTAATTTTAATATTTTATTCTTTTATTAGCATTTTTACTACTCACTTTCCGGTTATTTTAGATAATTTTCTTTCTTTGGTACTATATTTAAAAACTAATACGCAAAATATTGTATTATGTATATAATGCTTTTTATTTCTGCCTCATCAGTCCGCGAAATAATTTTCCTATTTTTGCCAGTCCCCAACTGTAAAAGGGTTGAAAACCACTGGTCAAGGAGGCCATCGGGTGTTCTGAAGGCTGAACCCTTGTCCAGCCCCTTTACAGCCAACATGGAAGGAACTGTGCTGGTTGCCCCCTGCCAAAGTTGCAACTGGGTCTCACAGCAAAGAATGGGTACTTACATTCACACTCATAGCGCGGACAGCCATCCTTATCGTGTAGTATTATTGGTGAGATGCCATTTGCACATTCTATCTTTTCTGCTGATGTTTGAGACACTACATGAATTCTATTGTTTCCTTCACAAGTTGCCATAGAGCAGTTGCTTAACATCCATGTTTCATTTGTCTGGAAACAAACCACAGGGATTTTTTGTGTGAAATGCTTGTCCTTGTAAGAAGAGGTCATCCCTGCAGCAAGGCTTCAAGAGTGCAGCTGATCCTTTTACCTAGAGCAAGCGTGCAGGGCTCCAATCCAGACCAGGACCATCTTCTGCACTTGCATACACAGGGGAGGCTTCAACTTCCCCTAGTCATTCCTGCCACAGTTCATACCCCCTGGGGCTATAAAGGGGGGAATCGCCATTGGCACCAAAGGACCCCCCCCCTTTTCTTAGCTTACAAAGGTGGGTTAAATTTAGTGGGAGAACTGGCTGCCATGGGGGCTGTGATGGTATCTTAAGGATGCCTGCAGCCAGCATCAGGTGCTGTGCACCCCTGCAGCACACCATGTCACAATGAAATTTAACCTGCAAATATACCTTGCAAGATTCATGCACGATTCCATTTAATACATTCATGGATAAAAATGTGATGGAAACATGCCGGTACTGCACAAATGATGAACAGCACTAAAGTGGGATTACCTTTCTAGGTGGATCAACATCGGGGCAACCTGGTACAGGAGTTGTTCTTGCAGTTGGTACAGGCAAAGAAGTGCTTTGTTCAGTTGGGGGAGCAGAAACTGTGGGTTTCTGAGTAGATGATGTTCCTGCAGTTGTAGCTGATAATGTTGATGGGCGGGAAGTTGTAGAAGGACATGGTCCCTGGGTCCTTTCAACTTCACAGTGCTTGTTGCAAACTGCATAAAAACTGCACCCAGAGCTATCAGTTTTATTGTATATTAGTTCCCCTATTTAAAAGGAAATAATATTAAATGAATTGAAAAGAAACATGTGCAGAGATTGTAAATCAAAAGATGCTGTAAAACTGAAAAATGCATGCATGCATAGTTCAAATGTATCTATTCATTTATTCCATATGATGCAGTCCTAATCATGTTTACTAAGAAGTAACCCCAGATAACAGGATTAGACTTGTATTATTATCAATATTAAGAAAGATCTAACTGCCAATAGGCAAAGCAGAACAAACAGAGGGGATTAGCTGAAAGGTGCCCTTTTGCTTTCCTGCCTGCTCATCTTTAGCTGGTCTTCAGTTAGTTATACATAACATGTGACCCAAGGTTCTGAGGTGGAGAGGAATAGTAGTATATTTTTATGGGAGCCACACTTTGGCCTCCTAATAAAAATAAATAGTAGACATATGGTAGTAGATGTAGATGGATAAGGGCCCAATGAGAAAATGGAGTGACCAGAAATTGATCCATTAAGTTTCATGCTGGTCTCTCCAATTCAGGCAATGCTGGATGTACAGAATGGATTTTACTTTATTTCTTTAAAACACTCAAAATGGTATATAGTAAATATAAAAACAATATATTAAATCAGTAAAACAAATATTAAAAATAGAGGACTACACTTGTTAAACATTTTGGTTTAAAAATATTTAACAATGGTTTAAATGTAAGTAAAAATGCTTCCCTGCCCTATCACAAAACGATGAAGTAGACTTTCCTAGGTACAGCAGTCCACAACTGTGGTCCAGTTCTAGACCTCCTGTTCTATACCACCTGTTCTCAGGATATCTGTGATCAAAAATGAATGAAAAGATGACTGCAGCTGTTTCACATAAACATTAAGAAAAACTCACCAGGAGAAAACAAAGAATCAGTAGCACCAGATACATGGCAGAAACATGGAGTGGTTTGACTTAAAGTGACAGCAGCTGTTCCTATTGTGGAATGTATAGTAGAAGTACTCGATGTTGTACTAGGTGCTGTTGAAGAGACAATGGAACAGAGAGAAGTTAAGTACAGTGGTGCTTATGAAACTAAGCCAGTGGAGGTTATGGAACTAGCAATTTGTGCTAAACACTGTAGATCAGGCTGGGAATTGTAGTCTAGCTAGAGAGCACTACATTAAGAGACACTGCAATAGATATTGCATCTCTAAGCATATTGTCTCAGAAATCTGACTGAGGGCGTAATCCAAGTGGGAGGCCTATAACCCTCTGAACTAGGAGGACTGCTGATATTCTATGAAAAGTGGGGCAAGTATAGTGGTGAAAATCAGCAGTGTTCAACCTGCCCAGCAAAGTCGGTAGATAGTTCATGCAGAAGGAAGGAGGCTGGGCCACCCCTCCCATTACTGGCCCTGGACCACCCACTTCACCCTTTCAGTAAGGCCATCGCTATGACCATGGAGGCACCACTAGCTCTCATTTTTCCATGCTGCCTGTATTTGTGCTAAATGTATTTGCTCTAATTTAACATCATGTGGCTCATTATATGATAATATATAGATGGTTTTAAATTTATTCTACAATAAAATTTGCATCATGTTCTTGGCTATCTAGTTAATAGCTTCAATGAAGTAATATTTTAAATTTTCTCTCTCATATATACATACACATATGAACCCATAGAACAACACTGGTTATTCAGAGAAAGCTAGGAATGGCAAGAATGGTTAACTATTGGAAACTGGCATCTTAATAACTGGTTTACCTAAACTGGATATGAAATGATGTCTTGAAGCCCTAATTAATATAAAATTGCGAAAAGGGGGCTATTAATTAAAAAATTGTTTCAGCTTACTTAGAACTAAAGGTAAGTTAGAAACATAGAAACAGAACGAGTCAGAAGGGTCCTCCCAGGCCATCTAGTCTGACCTCCGGCACCAGCTGGTTCCGCTCATGACATGCCCACCATGTGGACGTCCAGCCTATCTTTGAACTCCCTCACCAATGGGGCCTCAACGACCTCTTGTGGAAACCCATTCCACACCCTCGGGGTCCTGACTGTCAGGAAGTGCTTCCTGGCATCCAAATGGAACCTTGGTTCCCTGAGCTTTGCTCCGTTGGAGCGCGTCCTGCCTGCCTCTGCAGGGGAGAACAGGTCTCTTCCCATCTCCATGTGACACCCCCTCACATACCTGTATGTCGCCAACATATCCCCTCTGAGTCTCCTCTTCTCCAGGCTGAAGAGACCCAGTTCCCTCAGTCTCGCCTCATACCCCATCCCCTGCAACCTGGCCACCAACCTTGTGGCCCTGCACTGCACCGACTCTAACCTGGCTATATCCTTCCTGTAATGAGGAGCCCAAAACTGAGCACAATACTCCAGTTGTGGGCGCACCAGAGTCATATAAAGTGGTAGTAATACCTCTCTCGATCTAGAAGCCACACTTCTGGCTATGCAACCAAGGGTGACATTCGCCCTTTTGACCACTGCATCACACTGCTGACTCATGTTTAGCCTGCAGTCAACCAGCACCCCGAGGTCCCTTTCACAAGTACTGCTCTCCAGCCACTTGTCACCTAACCTGTACTTATGACAGCTATTCCTATGCCCCAAGTGCAAGACCTTGCACTTATCTACATTGAACACCATCCTGTTGTCTCCTGCCCACTTCCATAGTCTGTCCAGATCCTTTTGGATCTGGAGTACCTGCTCCTCAGTTGTGGCCACTGCTCCAGTTTTAGTGTCATCTGCGAATTTGATCAGCAGACTGTTCACCCCTTCTTCCATGTCATTTATGAAAAGATTAAACAAGATCGACCCCAGGACAGAGCCCTGGGGGACCCTGCTTGTCACTGGCTGCCATCCCAACAATTCCCCACTAATGGTTACCCTCTGCTTTTGGTCATTCAACCATGCCTGAATCCACCGGACAGTGCTTTGGTGTATCCCAAAACTCCTCAGTTTCTCCACCAGGATATCATGGGGCATTTTGTCAAAGGCCTTGCTGAAATCCAGGTAAACCACATCCACTGCATCCCCTCCATCTAGCCATCTCGAAACCTTGTCACAGAATTCCACAAGGTTTGTCTGACAGGACCTGTTTTTGCGGAAGCCATGTTGTGTGGCTGCCAGCCTCCCTTCCCCATCTAGCATCCCTAGATCTCTCGCTATTATGAGCCTTTCCATTGTTTTTCCTACAATGGGCGTAAGGCTAACAGGTCTGTAATTCTCCATGTCCCTTCTACTACCCTTTTTGAAAACTGGGACCACTGATGCCACCCCCCAGTCCTCTGGAACATCACCTGTTCTCCACGAGGCCTCAAAAATGGAGGCCAGCGGGCGTGAGAGAACCCCTGCCAACTCTCTAAGTACTCTCAGGTGTAACCTGTCAGGGCCTGGTGCCTTTGTAATGTCCAATGCCCTGAGAAGCCCCTCGACTTCTAGAGGGGTGACTCTAATCTGTGCCCCTAAGTCCCTGGCCTCATCTAATCTCCTATGCGGATCTCCCCCGTCCAGCTTTGGGGAGAACACAAAGGCAAAATAGTCATTTAGCATTGGTGCCTGTTCCCTCATATCAGTCACTGGATCTCCTTCCTCCTTATTTAGTGGTCCCACCACTTGTCTCCCCTTCCTCTTCCTATTTACATGCTGAAAGAAGCCCTTTTTGTTGCTCTTGATATTTTTGGCAAGTCTCAGCTCGTAATCAGCCTTAGCCTTGCAAAGAATCCTTCTGCAATGGGCCTCCTCCTCCCGGTATACCCTTTTGTCTATTTGCCCCAGTACCCATTTCCTACGGAGGTTCCTCTTTCGTCAAATCCCTCTAACCACCTCCTTTCACATCCATTGCAGCACTCTTCTCTGCCTCCCCACCTTACTAACTAGAGGAATCGTCAAGGCTTGTACCTCCAAAATCTCCCTTTTGAGTTCCATCCACCCTTCCTCAACTCGCTTACCTTCCAGTAACCTATCCCAGGAGACTTTCCCCAGTCTGGCCTTCAGTTGGCCAAAGTTGGCCCTCTTGAAGTCCCAGCTTCTTGTGCTTGGCCTGCTGCACATCCCCAGTCCCCTGATCTCAAAGCAAAGGATGGAGTGATCACTTGCATCCAGAGCTCCCCTAATTTGTACTTCATCTATCAGCTCCTTTCTATTGGTCAAGACCAAGTCAAGGATGTTTCCCCTCCTTGTCGCCTCTCGGACCCTCTGTGTGAAAAATCCTCCCTCTATAGCCTCTAGGAAGTGACGTGACCTGGCTGTCACCGCCGAGTGAATCTCCCAACTAATATCAGGGAGAATGAAATCTCCCATAATCACTGTGTCTCCCCGCCCAAGATATCCTTAGAATCTGAACTGTCAGGACATCATCCAGGGTCTCAAGTTGACCTGGAGGGCGATAACATACTCCCACTGTCAGGTCCCTTTCCCTGTCAAAACCCCTAAGTTTCACCCAGACTGCCTCTGCCGAATCCCCATCTGTGCTGCATTCTATCTCACTGCATCCTATCCCCTCCCTGACGCATATAGCCATGCCCCCACCCCTCTTTTCCTTTCTGTCCTTTCTAAAAAGATGATGCCCCTCTATGTTCACATTCCAATCTTGCCTTTCATCCCACCAAGTTTCTGTGATTCCCACCAGGTCATACCCTCCTATTCCCAGGAAAGCTTCAAGCTCTTCCTGCTTATTACCCATGCTCCTAGCATTAGTGTACATGCACCTCAACTCCTTCCCACCACTTCCTTTCCTTGGAGTTCCCAGCCTCCTCCTTCCTCCCATCCTCCCTGATACCTGGCCCCTCTCTGTAGGAGTCCTGTCAGTCCCTGCAGTACCTCTAAAACCCTGCTCCCAGAGCCCTGATCCTCTCCCCACACTTGTCCAGTGCAGACACGTTTCTGGAGGCCTAACCACCTCCCCCCTGCCAACTGGCTCAGTTTAAAGTCTTCCAGATGAAGCTCACTAGAGCATCTCCAAAGGACCTTTTCCCCATCTCATGAGGTGCAACCCATCCCTTGCCAGAAGTCAATTGGCAAGAAACTGGGTGCCGTGGTCAAGGAACCCGAAGCGTTCCTTCTGGCACCACACCCTAAGCCAGTCGTTTACCTCGGAGACCCTCCTGTCCCTTCCTGGCCCAAATCCCCAGACTGGTAAGATCGACAAGAAGGCCACTTGGGCCTTTAGCTCTCGGAGTTTCTTTCCCAAGGTCTCGAAGTCCCTGGTGATCCTGACCACACCCTGCCTGGCCACGTCGCCTGTACTCAGATGGATCACCAGGAGTGGCTGGTGACCCCTGGAGTAAACAAGATGCTCCACTCTGTTCTTCACATGCCGAATGCGTGAGCCCGGCAGGCAGCAAACCTCCCTTGTCTCCAGGTTGGGGCGGCACACCACCACCTCAGTGCCCCTCAGCAGGGAATCCCCAACAAAAATCACCCACCACCGTGTCTTCCCGGTCGTGGTGGGCGGCTGTGCCCTGGCCCTCGCCTCTCCTGCAGCAGCCCCCTTGCCGCTTGTCGTCCCAAGCTGGGGGTCCTGCTAGTCCCCTGAGGCCTCATCAGCCCCAGCCTACCCAAGCAGAAAGAACCTGTTTCCCACCTCCAGATTGGTGCCAGGAGAAGGAGGAGGCCATGCTGGCCTCACCCACAGGAGGAGGAGGGTGCCTCCATGTCTTCCCAGCTGCTCCTCCCATGGCCTCTCCCTCAACCCTCTGTCCAGAGGGGGGCTGCTCCCGGGGGGCCTGGAGAGCTCTCTCAGCCCTCAGGCACCTCACCTCCTCCTCTAGCAGGGTCACCAGCTCGCACTGAGGGCAAGTGTAACCCTGCCTCTCCTGGGGGAGAAGGGTGAACATGTCGTAGCTGTCGCAGTGGACAGCAACACCCGCGACTCCTGCCAAGGCCATCCCCTGGTCTGCCATTGGGATCCCTTCTGAGAACTTACCTTGGTCCCACGCCTTGTTTGTCCTGCAGTTCCCCTCACTCGCCCAGTTCGCCCAGATAAAAACCCACACAAACACGCAAGGATAAAATAAAATTTAAATTGGAGGAAAAACAAAGCACAGCGCAGCGCCAAAAAACCAAACCAAACCAAGAAAGAAAGAAAGAGCAATAAAACAAAACAAAACAAAACCCTTGGCATCCCAGGGAAGGGAGTCCCTGGGCAGCCCGGACCACAGCTAAGGGACGCAGACAAGGGATGACGCCCTTCCTCTCCTCTGCTCCTGTCCCTCTGCTCCCCTGCCCAGCTCCTGCCTTGCCTTCACCAGTCCCCCGGCCACTCAGCACTCTCTCCCAGCCTGTGCCTCTGCTGCTCTGCCAAGAGGCAAGAGCCAGAAGTTCTAAGAGGACAGTATAGAAAAGCTGTAAATACATAAATAAATTCACTACAATAATTGGAGAGATTCAGAATGAGCTGGAATGGCCATACCATTGAACTTTTTAAAATATTAAAAAAGTCAGACTACTTCCATTCAAAGGGTAGAGGAAGGAAGTACGGAAGAGATTTTGCCACTTCCTAAAATACTTTTCCTACAGTACTCCTATTTATTTATTTAAAATATTCATATGCCGTCCTGTCGCTAAAAGCCTCAGGACGGCTTACAACATAAAATATAACATAAATAAATTTCCGACCCACACTGGCTACAATTAAAAACATAGAAAAGACAATATTAAAACTTATTAAAATATCGCTGGAATAAAAACGTCTTAACCTGGTGCCAGAAACCAAATAACGGTGGTGCCAGGTGGATCTCTCTGGGGAGCGCATTCCATAGATGGGGCACCACTGCAGAGAAAGCCCTCCTCCAGGTTCTTTGCCTCCTAATGTCTTTCACGGAGGGTTCCCGGAGGAAGGCCTCTGCTGCCGATCTCAAGGGGTGGGAGGGCAAATATGGAAGAAGGCCCTCCTTCAGGTATCCAGGACCCAAGCCGTTAAAGGTAACCTCTATGTAACCTCTCATTTAGCATCTAGTGATACAGGCAGGATGAAAGAATGTGAAGATCATCACATGGCACCTGACTATCACGGTGACCAGAAATCTGCTAAGCACTAATATGGATTCAACTCACTGTATACAAATAGTAAACAGAGAAGTCAGGCTACCCACAGTATCACATGCTATATCACATAATATCTGACACCAGAGAATAAGACATGAAGAGAAAACAGAGAGTTTTCTAGCTGGACAGCACACTTAGCTAAAATATCTCAGACATCTTTGATATTATACCAGGATAAATATTGCAATCAAGCTAATGACAGCTGAGATGATTATCAATGCACTACAAAAGGACCTATATTAAAATTATTTTTCACATACCTATCGAAAAAGTTGAAGTCGACACAAACTGAGGAGAGACTGAACTCATGGTTGGTATTGTGACTGAAATAAGTGGAGCGGTATGGACTGTAGTTGTTTGTTGTTCAGTTCTAACACCGAGGGTTGTAGAAAGGCGTGTGCTCCCTTGCGTGGTTGTTGTAATTGAGGGAGGTGTCGAATGGCAATGGCTGTCATCACAGCACTGGAATCTGACCTGATAATTGTAGCATGTGGGGATCTTCACTGACTGCTCTGTGTTCTTACAGATCAGCCCAATGCCAATATCGCACTCGAGTTTCTGGCCCAGGTGAGAAATTTTGATGTCAGGGTACTCCTCAGAACGGCATTCGATGTCTAGTGGGCTGTCGCACACCTCTCCTCCAGCGGCATGGATCCGTTCATAGGTTTCGAAGTCACCATCATCTAAATCATCGGTGGGATGATGAGTATCGAACCAAGGAGTCCACTCACACTTAGGACGGCACGCAGTAGAAGTACCTTGCCATGCTGTGGAAGGGGAGGGAGCAATAGTGCTTGTTGTGTTGACTATGATCCCAGGAGTCTGTGCTATAGTGCCCGTGATTGCTATCGTTGTCGGTGATCCGGGTACAGGGGTGGAGGGCAGAGACGTGGTGGAGACTTTGGGGGCCGTCCCGGTACTGACGAAAGTCGTACCCACCCCTCTCGTGGGAGTGACTGAGACGGTGGATGGCGGAGGAGCTATGGTCGTGCTGGTCTCTTGTTGCGTGGTTCCCCTCAGTGTCGTTGACACCACCGTGGTTTCCCCCGGTGTCGTTGATACCACTGTGGACCTCCTCGTGGTTGTCTCCATGGGGGGAGGTGCCGTTGAGCCCGTGGACAATGGTGGGGTAGTGACCACCCCTGGGGTGCTTCTCGGTCGAGTTGTGGTGACAGCCGTTGTTGGGCCTGTCCCTGTTGTGGTCGGGAGACAATGACTATCATCGCAGCAGGAGAATCTGATCTTGTAGTTGAGGCACATGGGAATGTCCCCTGACTGTTCGACGTTCCTACACAGCAGGCCAATGCCGAGATTGCACACAACGTTCTGCTTCAAGAAAGAAATGCCCAGATCAGGATACTTCACTGACCGGCACTCGATGTCTCGTGGGCTGTTGCACACCTCTCCTCCAGCAGCACGAATCCTTTCGAGGTTCTCGACGTCCCCGTCGTCCGTCGCATTGGTTGGTTCCTTAGTATCAAACCACGGGGTCCACTGGCAGATGGGCTGACAAATGGTAGTGGTGGCTTCCCTGGGCGTGGAAGGGGTGGGAGCAGGAACGGTTGTTGTAGTGAA